CGCATCACAGGACCTGGCCTTGGGGCGGCAGGGAGAGTAACCCTCGCCTGGGTACGGTGTAACATACCTGGTTATCATTAGATTCCATAGTGCTCCGCAGTGATCCAATATGGCCACTAGATGGCAGTGGCGCATTGTGAGTGAAATTAAAGAGCGCAGGCCAGGCAGAGAGCACAGGAAGTTATCAGCTCTCTGGATCTCTGGCAGGATCAGCAATCATTGCACAGCTATGACACTGTCAGTGAGCAGAGAGAGCAGATAAGAGAAGTCACATGGCTTACCTACAATGTGATTTTACTGCAGCTTCAATCACCCGGCCATACACAGATCAATAATTGCCCAGCAGAGACCATTTCAGTTCTTCTCTCACATTACAAACTATACTGAGGTCTTTGCAATGTGTATATACTGTACAGAGAGCAGAGCTGTGGGAGGGGCTCGGCAGGTCCCCACCCACTACAAGAAACTACAGGAGGGGGCGGAGACAAGACCAGTCACCCTACATAAGGAGAGAGAGAGAGCAGCAGTGATTGGTCTTTATTACAGGAGGGGGCAGAGACAGGACCAGTCACCCTGCACAAGGACAGAGAGCAGCAGTGATTAGTCTTTATTACAGGAGGGGGCGGAGACAAGACCAGTCACCCTGCACAGGCAGAGAGATCAGCAGTCAGCGGTCTATATTACAGGAGGGGGCGGAGACAAGACCAGTCATCCTGCGCAAAGAGAGAGAGCAGCTGTGATTAGTCTTTATTACAGGAGGGGGTCGGAGACAAGACCAGTCACCCTGCACAAGGAGAGAGAGCTGCAGTGATTAGTCTTTATTACAGGAGGGGGCGGAGACAAGACCAGTCACCCTGCACAAGAAGAGGGAGCAGCAGTGAGCGGTCTTTATTACAGGGGGGGTGGAGACAAGACCAGTCACCCTGCGCAAGGAGAGAGAGCAGCAGTGATTAGTCTTTATTAGAGGAGGGGGCGGAGACAAGACCAGTCACCCTGCACAAGGAGAGAGAGCAGCAGTGAGCGGTCTATATTACAGGAGGGGGCGGAGACAAGGCCAGTCACCCTGCACAAGGAGAGAGAGCAGCAGTGAGCGGTCTATATTACAGGAGGGGGCGGAGACAAGGCCAGTCACCCTGCACAAGGAGAGAGAGCAGCAGTGACCCACTTTATGGGTTGGTCCTGAACGTCATTACTGTTTGTGATCCTATTAGGGGATATTTTCCTTCACTTCCTGTTAGGACAGGAAGTGATGAAAAACAGGGACACCGACAATAACACCTATTTGGTAGAATGGGGAAGGGTTTTAACATCTGACAATGTTGTTATCGCTGTCCACACCTTCCTGTCTCGGTTACCACCGCTCCGCCCATTTCTTGTATGGGTGTCATAGGGACAGGAAGTGAGGGATGAATTCTGCAGAGGGGTCACAGACAGAAATAACGATCCAGTGCAGGTCAAGCTCTGAAATCTCTAGTCTGGGAAGTCTGGTTGCTATGAGTGGATGGTCATTACCAGCTGGTTGTTAAGAAACCCCGGGGAGGTCAATATTCAGTAAAATTTAATATTTTTGGAAGAAAGCTCCTCCCCCTGCGCGTAGCCCGGTGTGTCAGGTAAGTTAGCATTTTCTGTTATTTTGGAATGACGTAATGCACACGCGCGGCATGTGATAGAGATATTTGTGAATGGGATTGTCAGATATTTTATGAATGGAGCTTTTGTTTTTAGGTGACTGGCCCTTTAAGGGGCCCGCTTACGCGATTGCCCCCTGTTTTTGGGCCGCTGTAATCACAGCTGTCAGCCGTTAGATTCATGTGATTGGTGGATTTTTCTGTCTGTCCGTTATCCAGATCAGTCATTGGTCAGATCCTGACATCGTTAAATCCCTCTCCTCAGCAACGGCTGGCCAATCTCCGCATAGAAAGATTCTATTTACTATCTTTCGCCAACGTAGTCTCACACTCCCCCTATCCCTATTGGTCAAGGAGTGTAATAGGCGGGAAGGTTGGGAGAGGGGGGCGGGCGTGCTTACTAAACTACTGGCTTGTGATTGGCCTGGAGGCTGAGCCGTATGTCAGGGGCCGGCAAGGTTTGATTTGTGGGGGAAGGGGCAGTGGGCGGTGCTTGCTTGGAGTGTCCCGCCCCCTTCTAGAGCTGCGCTGATCGCTGCGGAGAGGAGTCAGAGCTCGGCGGAGCAATATGGCGGCCGGGGGGTGACGGTGAGGGAAGGCCGCCCTCCCGCCACACACGGTGAGTGACACACCGAGCCCCTAGGGCCCCTGGACACGGGTCACGCTGAATCTCTGGGGGCCACACTCAGGTGTTGTAGGACGTAGTTTTCTTCAGGGGCCACACTGACCAGGTGAGGGCCCTACTACTCTACATGGGACACATACACCTTTTGGGGACCCCACTGGCCACCTAGGGGCCACAGTGATCTTTAAGGGCCGCGCTGCTCTGCCAGGGGATTCACTGACCAGGTGAAGGCCACAGTATTCTATCCGGGGCCACACTATCTTTTTGGGGCCACATTGCTCTGCCGGTGGAGACACTGTTCTTTCAAGGGCCACACTACTCTGCATGGGATACACTGAGCTTTTGGGGATCCTACTGGCCAACTAGGGGCCACACAGTGATTCCTGCTCTTCCTGGGGACACACTAACCACCTGGGGCCCCCTCTGCCTTCTCAGGGACCACCCTGAGTTATGGGAAGATGCAGTGGGCTACAGAGACTACACTAACAAGTCAGGGGCCACAGTGTTCTATCAGGCGACACACTGAGCAATTGGGGCCCTCGCTGAACTTATTGCTCTACCAGTGGACTCACTGACTAGCTGGGGTCCCCTTTGCTTTATAAGGGGCCACACTTCTCTATGGGGGGGGGGGAGGCACTGAGATTTTGGGGCCACACTTGTGTACCAGGAGCCAATACTGCATGGGCCACACTGAGATATGGGAACCTTACTGGACAGTTAGGGGCCACAGTGATCCCCAAGAGCCACACTGCTGTACCAGGGGCTACATTGACCAGCCAGGGTCACGCAGCTTGGCAAGGGCCACACTGGTGTACAGGGGCCACACTTACAAGTCAGGGGCCACATTGTTCTGCCAGGACCACACTGAGCTATTGGGTGTCCGACTACTCCACCAGGGGTAACCTTGACCTGCTGGGGGCCACACTGCTTTTCTCTGCTATCGGTATATAGGAGGATCTCCACAGCGCCATTGTACCGCGTACCGGTATATGTCGGTGACATGTATGTGTGTTGTATGGAGTCACATGTAGGAGGATTGTACCGCGCTGTGTTATATGTCAGTGACATGTATGTGTGGTGTATGGAGTCACATGTAGGAGGATTGTACCGCGCTGTGTTATATGTCGGTGACATGTATGTGTGTTGTGTGGAGTCACATGTAGGGGGATTGTACCGCGCTGTGTTATATGTCGGTGACATGTATGTGTGTTGTGTGGAGTCACATGTAGGAGGATTGTACCGCGCTGTGTTATATGTCAGTGACATGTATGTGTGTTGTGTGGAGTCACATGTAGGAGGATTGTACCGCGCTGTGTTATATGTCAGTGACATGTATGTGTGTTGTGTGGAGTCACATGTAGGGGGATTGTACCGCGCTGTGTTATATGTCAGTGACATGTATGTGTGTTGTGTGGAGTCACATGTAGGGGGATTGTACCGCGCTGTGTTATATGTCGGTGACATGTATGTGTGGTGTATGGAGTCACATGCAGGAGGATTGTACCGCGCTGTGTTATATGTCAGTGACATGTATGTGTGTTGTGTGGAGTCACATGTAGGGGGATTGTACCGCGCTTTGTTATATGTCGGTGACATGTATGTGTGTTGTATGTTGTCATTCCTCATACGGCGTGCACAAATGGGTATTGGTGATGCGGCGGTGCCAATCCCATCGTGCCTGTGGCTCTGAATCTTGCAATGCCTCATGGGATTTGTAGTTCCACAACACCTGGAGTGACGCAGTTGCCCACCCCCAGGTGTAGACTGTACCCGAGCTCGGAGCCGATCCTCCTGACCGCCACCTCTCTGACCACCGTCCTCGGCTCACATAGTGACGGGAAATACGCAGAGCGGTCACATGAACAGGAAGTGAGGGGAAATCTCCCAATGGGGGACACCTGGTGACAACTAAGAAGGGAATTCCCTTCACTTTGCAGAGATTT